GAAGGAAAGAAGGGGGACAGAGATACTTTTTTGTACACTGTGTGTGTGAATATAAATTGCACCATCTTTTTGGAATGCAGTTTGGAATATCTATAGAAATGACAAGGGGGCATGCTCCGTGACCCAGTGATTTTTCAGGAGGGTATCCTATAGATATACTTGCATAAAGCAAAGTAATGTATACACACTCGGTGCAGCATTTTCTACAAACAAGAAACTATACAAATGTCCAGCAATTATGCGACAACTCTACAGTGGAATCCTATGCAGCTGCATGAAAGAATTAGCCAGCTCTTTAGAGACGCACATGGAACGCTTTCCATGACATGTAGGTTAGTTAAGGAAACAAATTCTAGGGGCTGGGGATTTAGCTTAGCGGCACAGCGCCTGCCTGGCAAGCGCAAGGTCGTGAGTTCAATTCTCGATTGAAAAAAAAAAAAAGAAACATTTTAAGACAGTATGATATACTTGTAAAGACATAAAATACCTCTGAAATGGCACATAATATACTAGTAACTTTGGTTACATCCAGGGAAAAGGCTAGAGAATGGAGAAAGGCCTATTTTTGTAGCTTTTGGATTCTGCAGTATTATTTATATGATTTTTCTTTTTTTTTTTTTTTTTCAGTCTTATTCAGACAGGGTCTCGCTATTCAGTTCAGGCTGACCTTGAGCTCACTTTGTAGCCCAGGCTGGCCTTGAATTTGCAAGGATCCTCCTGCCTCAGCCTCCTGAGTGTGAGTGCTAGGATTACAGGCATGCACCACCATGCCCAGCCTATTTATATGATTATTAACCATTGAAAACAAATCAATTTAAAAGGCATAGCCACTGGGGATATAGCTCAGTGGCACAAGCGCCTGCCTGGCAAGCACAAGGTCCTGAGTTCAATCTTCAGTACCAAATAAATTAATTAATTAATTAAATAAAAGGCACAGCCTTACCAGGCATGGTGTCCCACACCTGTAATCCCAGCATACAGGAGGCTGAGGCAGGAGGATCGTTTTTGAGTTTGAAGCCAGCCTGGGTTACAAAGTGAGCTCAAGGCCAGCCTGAACTGCATAGCGAGACCCTGTCTGAACAAGACCAAAAAAAAAAAAAAGGGCACAGCCTCATAAAAAGTTTTTAGGGGCTGGGGATTTAGCTCAGCAGCACAGCGCCTGCCCAGCAAGCACAGGTCGTGAGTTCGATCCCCAGTACCAGAAAAAAATAAATAAATAAATAAAATAAAATAAAATAAAAAAGTTTTTAAATTACTGATTTTAAAGCCATCTCAAGAGCCAGGCATGGTGGTGCATGCCTGTAACAAGATTTCTTCCAAACTTTAGATTTTCAGGGAGCTTTCAGAGAGTAACAGAAAGAAGCCACATACTTTATTCCTTTTGTAAAGTACGTACAGTACTTGAAAATAACTATGTCTTGGTATAATACTCTAGCACAGAATCTCATCTGCTTCAACTAAGAGTTCTGGCATGGGAAGCTCACAAACCTTACCCGCAACAACTCTTCAAACTCTGCAGGAGAAGATACTTCTGAGGGGTATATTTTGAAATGTAAGGTAAAAAATACGTATTTATGAAGCCAGAGTAATATTTTTTTTTTCTGAAAGATGCTGGGATAATAAGCAGTGCAAGAATTCACCTGCCTCCAACGGCTTTTCATCCAATTTAGCCTAGGAGTTAGGCCATGTTTATATGTGAAAATTACTAGCACACTGGGGAGAGTATTATAGAGGCCAAAGAAGCAGGGCAAACAAGCAGCCCCTCAGCAAATAAGGAGAAATCACCCCGTCTACTAGGAGCATGAAGCCCTCAGCACAGAAACGGACGCTGAGCGGGGCGTGACGCATGATCCAGTTTCAGCAGCTGGAGACTGCACGCTGGGCTGGCTCCGGAGCGAGTGAACTGCCCAACCTGGACAAGGGCAGCCAGTGGGTGGCGAGAGCAAGGACTCCCAGCTTGTGGAGGTCCGCGTAATAACCTCCCAAGGCCTGTCTCCTCCTACAGCCCCAGGAACCCTGATGCTTCTTAGGACGTCCCAGAGCTGCTGTTCACTCCATTCTCACCACCACAAAACAGCCCGAGCTCTGATGCCCTCCCCGGCAAAGCTCTCCAAATTCCTCTGCCAGGTTTCCGACCTTCTCCACCTCCAATTCAGGGCGTACACCACATTCATTACTCTATACGCATACCCTGCTCACCCCGAGCCCAAGCACTGCCCACAAAATCCAATTGTTTTCCTCACATTTTCTCTCTCGCCCTATCCCTGGATGCCCGCCACCTAAACAGAACCAGCGCTTCCTGCCGATGCCATGCCCATACTGTTCCTTTTGTTGTTGTTTTTGTTTTTTTGCGGTACCGGGAATCGAACTCACGACCTTGCGCTTGCCAGGCAGGTGCTGTGCCACTGAGCTAAATCATACTGTTCCTCTTACCTGGAAGAGTCTCCTTACTGTTCCCAGGTATGGCATGGGCGGTTGGGCAGGCTGCATATAGCGGTCTGCATCAAAGAGCCAGGGCTGAACAGTAAACAACCTCTGCAACTTTCCAATGATGGCTTCTTTCCATCTTCCCCACTGCACTTTCTCAGAACAACTTAACTCTCAAGACATCTATCTACTGTGCCTCTGAGGCCTACATCTTTCAAACAAGTCCCAGTACCTGGACACCAACAGTGCCTGCAATCCCACATTCACTCCAAAGATGCTCGATGGGATAAATCAAGAATGGCACGCTGAGCTTACTAAGAAAGGAGTTCAGGCTTTCAGTGGATCCCAAATACAGTCAAAAGATCAGTGACGCTTGGACGAATTTCAGGTTGGAGAGGTAGCTCAGCAGTACAGCACTTGCCTGGCCTACTCGAGACGCTGGGTGTGATCCCCAGCACCACAAAAAAAGAAGATAAAATAGTAACAATAAAGAAAACAAGAAACAAAAGCCAAGTAGGCAGGATTGGAGAGATTACATCTCTGCTGAAGAGGGGAGAGAAGGCTTCATCCATAACGTGCAGCACCCTCAGCAGCCTGGCCATCCTTCAGAGTACCTACTTGGGATTACAGATGCTGGTTTTCACGCACCTACTCTCATCAAAGGAGGCCTAAAACTGGGCCATTAAGCCAAGAAAAACACACATTTGCCTGAAATATCTGGGTATCTAGGAAACAGTTCTGACTTGAATAATTATATACATACATGAAACACGCACACAAAGCATTACTCTTAGCTTTCCTTTGCTGTCTCCCTCTCTTCCATCTCTGCCTCTTCCCCTTCCCAGTTCTCTCTCCCTGAAATCATTATTCATCGCTCTCATTTCTTTCCAGATGTTTTACATTAATGATTTCCAGGCTGCCTTCCACTTCTCTCAACACTCCCTCCCTTCCTCAAAAGATTAGTATTCACGTATCTCAACTCATTCTGCTTGTATAGTGGTTCAGCCAGCTCCCTCCATAGCTGTTCTAAGTGAATTCTCCTGTGTCCTTTGTTAATACAGCTCAAACCCCCGCTACCCTCGTCATTCTGGAGTTACTGGTGAATCATTTCAAGGTCAGACATATATGGCTCACTTTCCAGTGACCCTCTTAAAAAATAAAACGAAGAGCCACTTACATGTTTTGGTACCTTAAGTTAATTCCACTGTACCGCTGGAATACCAAGCAATTCTTATCTCCAACTGAAAACAGAATCTAATACCGTGAACAAAATGAGTTTCCTGATTTATTTGGTCTCAAAGCATGTATCTCGGATTCCACGCCAAGATGGCATATCACTAATACTCTGTGATACTAGACAATTTTATTTACTTCTTAGATTTATATAGAACTCTCTACTCCCCACAGGAAGAATATTACGTAGAAGTCACTGCAATATCAAGAAATGGCACCACTCCTAACATACCCGGGCCCATCAGGCAAAGATGACAGGGCATAACCTTGAATTTAAGAAGTGAAGGGAGATAAAAGTAAAACAGAAAGTGAATGGAGGAAAAACCTTAAAACAGCAAACAAAGGTAAAAACAGAATACACAGTTTGGTTTTTGTGCCCAAAATGGCTGTCTCCCTTGAAAGTCCAACTTTAGTCTGCATATTCCTCCCACCAAATATGTAAAATAAACTCACTGGTACTAAAAACAGAAAAGTGTTATCACCATTAAGAGGTAAGCATGATCTTAGGAAGATTGGAATATTTTTCTCCTATGCTAGTAAAGAGGAAAGAAAAAAACCAACTACCCAAATTCGGCTTGTGGGTTTAGGGTAACTTTGACTCTCTTCCCCCAAGACAATCCCTCTTCCCTCACCTGCTCCTCTCAATGCGGATTCCTCGTACCAAACGGGTGAACAGGAGCTTTGCCCACTCCACTTTTTGGGAAGGAAAAGAAGGGCCCAAAGGGAACAGTCATCCAAAGTTAAATAAGCCTCCTCTTGCCTGGCGTGGCGTGCACACCTGTGATCTCAGCACTGGGGAGACAGAGGCAGGAAGATCGCCGTAAGTTCGAGGCCAGCCTGCGATATACAGTGAGACCCTGTCAGGGCGGGGGGGACCTCCTTTATAATACAGGAAATCCATCATCAACGCATATTATGCTGGGGTAGAGTGTACAGAATGTATGGGCAGTGGGCAGTGTACTATATTCCAGAGTATGACTTCATCTACCCAAACACAAGAAATTGGTAAATATGTCAAACTGGCCTCAAATGTTTGCATGCTAACAGAATACAGGTTTAGAGAAACCTCATTAGCAGATTACTATTAGCTCAGACGGAAATCACAAAAATGGGAAAGAACTGTGTATGTCACGTCCAGGCGCCCCTCCCCTGACCCGGGGATGCTCCCTCAGGTTACACATCTAAGGGGTGGAATAAACTGGGGCGCGAGCGGGGACCAGCGTCCCTTCGTGGGCAGGAGACAGGACGGAGACGGGACGCACGCACGGACGGGACGGACAGACGGGCAGAGAAGCGTGGCGTCCTACCCGGAGGGCTCCCTCCCAGGGCCGGCGGAGTACCTGCTCCGGTCATCCAGGCTGCGGTTGTCGGCGGCCGCCGTGCGCCAGTCGGGCAGCGTGCTGGCGCACAGCACCACCATGGACACGATCACGAACACCACCGACACGCTGGCCAGGATCTGCGCGGCCAGCGACGACGTGGGCTCCTCGAAGGTCCGCCGCATGCGCTCCAGCCAGCGGCGGGAGGGCGCCGCCTCGGGCCCGGCGGCTCGGGCTCCCTCGCGCGCCCGCGGGCCCGGCTCCTCGGCCGAGTAGAAGGTGTAGGTGTCGGACATGCGGTCGTCGAGGCGGCGCTGGCAGCAGTACTCGAGGTGCGCGCCCTCCAGGCCCCAGTAGATCATCTCGTTGTAGAAGGAGAGCTCGCACATCCGCGGCGCGAAGCGCAGCTTGCCGTGGCCGCGCACGTAGAGCAGGATGAAGCCGAAGGCCTCCGAGTGCCGGTCGAAGAAGTACTCGTTGCGCTCGCGGTCGTAGTCGTCGCACACCTCCAGCACGTCGCGCTCCGAGCGGCAGCCGTGCAGCCGGCTCACGCGGCGCAGCGGGAAGTCCTTCAGCAGCTCCCGGGACAGCGAGTACCGGGCGCCGCCCACGTTCAGCACCACCGAGGCCGCCCCGCTGCGCCCGAAGGTCATGGCTGGGGGCCCCGCGCGCCGTCGGGGCCGCCCTCCCCCGGGCTCCGCTGCTGCTCCCCGCCCGCGGGCAGCCTCGCACCGCGCGCCGCCAACGCCGCTCCGACCCTCAGACCCCGACGCCGACACAGGCACCCGCTTCCCTCCCTCCCCCGGGCTCCGCTGCGGAGGACAGAGAACGGCGTTACCTTCTGCCTCACCAGAGGTACCCCTGGCCTGGGGGTACCGCTGCGCTCGATCCCGGGAGAAGGTTTTCGGTACTTTGAATAAACCCCTTTTGCCGCTTTTCCCTCCCCCACAACCAGTCTCAGTCCCAAAATGGCGCCGACCCGATCCGCAATGTTCTGGGCCAAGTCTCGCGAGATGGTAGACAGCCGTGAGGCGGGGAAGGAACTACAGGGGTTGAAGAGAAGAGGTGAGGAAGGCGGGGCGAGGCGAAGAAGGAGGGAGAAAGGGTGTGGAAGAAGTGAGAGGAACGAACCTACTGGGCGGGGCAGCAGGAGGAGCGCCTCTACCAGAGAACCTTCTGGCCGGAGCAACCGCTCACGCCCTGGTCAAAGAAGCTCCGCCCACTACGTCAAGGCGGGGAGGGCGTGGCTATGCTTAGGGGGCGGGGCCTCGCGGAGGCCCGGAGGCGGGGACTCGAGGCGGCCGAGGGGGGCGGTGGCTCCGCGCGGTGACGTCAGGAGCAGCTGAGTCGGGGATTACCCCCTGCTGCTGACGTGAAGACGCGAACAATCGGGAACGTTCGGTGGAAGGGGGAATTCCCCGCCGCT